CCCCCCCCCCCCCCCATCACCTTTCTAATGGTCCGTCCCTTAAAGAGAAATAAAAATTACACATTAGGGCACATTACAGCTTAATGGGTTGATGTTTAACCCATTTGGTGGCATTGCACTCCACTTTGATATTTAACTCTGTCTAAAGTACACAAGCAATTAATATGTTATTTGTCAAGGGAAGAGTGCTACCACTCAATGGTTTACCCAAACTATGGACTCATTATTTGTGGTAACCTGGGAGACAAGTGGCAAAGCCATGTTCTCAGTTGTGTGCCATTTGAAATTCAGGCAATGTGTTCAAAATTGTTATAACATGACCATATCGGACTTATTGGAACAATTAACCTTGCAACAAGTCTGACAGTATCAACAAGGTTGTTACAAGTTGTTAACGTTACTTGTTAACAATTTGGGGCAACGTTTTGACGGCTTGTTGGCAGAAATGATACAAGATGTGAGATTTGTCCGTGTGTAGCAGAGCCCAGTGGCGTAACTACTATGGTCTCAGACCGGGAGAACCCGGGGGCCCCAACCCAAATGGGGGCCCCCAGGCTTAGGCGATAGAGCAAAAACATTGGTTAGGGCCTCTGATATGTTACAATGTTGTTTTATGACCATCAGAATTCTGTAAAATCTCGCCCCCAAGTCCAGGAAATGGCATTTCAGAGAGTCTAGATTCAAAAATTTTCCGGATGAGCATGCCCTGGACCCCCTAGAAAACTCGTGCATATACGGCGCTCGACTCGTGCCTTTGGTACGTCTACTAGGGGGGCCTTCGATAATTTTGAACCGGGGCCCCCTGATATAACGTTACGCCACTGGCAGAGCCTGTTTCCCATACAAAAAGATATGGATTATCTTTTATTTCCAGAGCAATTTCACTTCTAAATAAGCGTGGAACAATTAAGAGCAATTGAGAAATGTCTATTATCATTGACTTTTTATGTAAAATTACATAGGTTGATGCATTTTACAAGTATATATTGTAGTATATTAACCAAATAATGTTTTAATGTAAGTCCATTGCACTTTTGAACGGAAATTGGATAATAAAGACTTATTAAATTTTATGATTATTATTAGTATTAGCATTTGTGGGTATGATTTGATGCGTTCAAACTTTGCATGCATCAAATCACGCAATGCACATGCTAATAATAATAATAAGTCTTTATAGTAAGAAGTCTTTTCTTCAAACACTTAGGTAACGTCATGTAGTATGATTTTCTGTCATAATGTCCAAATTCATTTAGACTTAAGAAACTGGTGAATACTGAAATGTGTGAGGAATGACAAGTTTAGCTGAAAAAGTATTGTATTTTTACATTCGGTCAGAATTTCATTAGAATTTACAATTCGCTAGCTTCCGTGGCAGTGTGTGGATTGTTGCCCCACTATTTGTTTTGGCCCTTCGAATTTTATCGTGAAAGAATCATTCATGAAAACTAATTATGTTCAACAGTACATTACTTAACAATTAAATAGCCTTTTAGACAATAAGCTAAAAAAAGCTGCTGTTCAATGCGTTTGTTATAGTCATTAGTCATATCAATGTGTTTGTTATACAGGGTGAGTAAA